ATGGCATAAATAATGCTTTTCAAGTGCCTGTGTTCTACAGTGAGGTATAAAAGGAACCTAAACATTTAGCTTGTACATAGACATAAGCCTTGTAGTCTTGTAGGGTGGGATTCCTCTGCAGATTTTGACACCTGAGTAAATTAGCTTCATGTGAACTGTGCCTCTGAATGCCTATTACAATCAACAGAAAGCTAATAAATGCAGTCAGTGAAGGTAGGTGTTTTAAGTTTGAATTTACTTAAGAAAAATCTTTCTTGATTGTCTCATCAGGAGGCAAGACTGTGCTAGGACCGAACTAGAAGGCAATCTCAGAAAGATTGCTACAGTTCATTTTTACATTCTTTCTCAGAGCTGTCCTCATCTTACCATTCAGATAGCTGCCCCAGGATCCCCCAGCATCTCTCCTAAGAAATTCATTTGCAGAAAAATTGCCAGAGGAAAATCCTCTCAAGGGAATTACTGTAGTCACCATAACATCCAGCCCTATGAGTGCCACACTCTTCCACTCTCCTTGAGTTCCCATAACTCTGTGCATGAAGCTTGCAAATCAGAATTCCTTTGTCAATTAAATTGCATTTTTTCAGTTTGTCAAGCCTTTAACTTATGGTTAATTGTAAATTTAATACTGAGTTAGCCCCTTTTTTTTTTTTTTTTCCAGTGGCTTGTCCTAAAGCAAAAATAGTTATCAGTGAGTGAAATGTCAATGTGTTAAAATTAATCTTAAGAATATTTCTAGTTCATTCTGCCTTTACAGAAAATATGTGCTTGCTCCATGTAATTTGACTACATTTGTGCACTTCTGTAAAGTATTACATAAGTATGTGGAACATACTTCCAACTGTATAGACCCAGCATGTGGATGAATGTCTTCAAGCTACTGAAAAGGCTTGCAATTCTGTATACAATGGTGTAGTTGTACAAAATACATGTGCATGCCTGTGTTAAATTTTACAGCCTACAAAAATTTAATCCCTATTCCGCTGCTTAAAAATTTGCCAGCCAAAGGTCAACTTTCTCCCAAACTAAATTCCTGTGATTACTAGCAATTTTTCCCATTCTGTCCTCTTTTTACTATTCAATGCTGTTTTTAATAATGCGCAATCAGTAATGAGATTGAATCTTGCTGGACAGGTAGTCTGTTTCTTCTGAAGGCGAGAGAACCAGTGTCAGTGATGATCATCTGAAGAAACCTTCAACTCAATGACTTTAATATTTTGCAGTTGGACACAGATATTTATATATATTTTTTGGACACACTCAGAAGTACCTGAGGTTGCTGTAGGTTTTCACACTTTAACATCCCTAATCCATACAGTTTACATTTTCCCTGTCAATTGCTGAGAATCCTATAGAATCCATAGGAGTCATACCTAACCTGAACTTGTTTAAATAGGATTTTTTTCATAGATTGGAATTTAACCTGAAGTATTTGCCTCTTGTCTCTGTTGGACCTGAACCAGTCTGACTAAATATTTATTTTCAGACATTGACTTAAAGTAAACATTGTCATAAAACCTGATCTCCCCTAATAAAAACCTGTTGAGCAATGTTTCTTTTCTAGTCTAGCTAAGGAGGGCTGTAACTAAAACACAGTTTCTTGGAAAAGCCAGTTTTATTTTAATGACTGTTGTGTTGTAAACAGTTGGCTATTACAGCCAACAGCATGCTCTGAGTGCAAAGCAGGCAAATTGGCCTCTTTCATCAGTTCTTACTAGAAATATAGGCATTGTGTATCCTTTGTGTTGAGATGCTTAGAAACTGATTTATGGTGAGGAGCAAATGAGCTAATGGGGCTTTTTCTGTCCCTCTTGCTCTTCTTTACAATAATCTCCATCTCTTCTTATAATATTCTGCAACTACTTATGTTCCTTGTACAGCAAAATAACACATCTTTTCACTTAGCTCCTCAATACCCAGTGCAGATTTAGGAAATG